TACATTGTAAAGTCTAGATATATACATACTCGCGATATTGTATAAAGATGCCTGAAGACAGACGACGATGAATTAATAGTAATTAACGAAATATTGATAATGGGTTGACACATTATCACGACCACAAATATAACTAAATGCATGATACGTGAACTCAGTACTCTGTTAATTTAAAACATACGGCATCACATAAACAGAATTTATTTGATATAATGTATACATGGTCAATAATTAGGTCATGTTATACTATTAAGTTATAACTAGGGATGTCATGAAAATGGGTATTTATATTTGTAATATCGATTATTTGTATTCATCGAACACAATCATGACATTTATAATGGAACTGTCGTACAAATTCTGTGGTTAAATTATTTCAAGTCTATGGTTTTCTAAAAAAAATATATACCAAAGACCTATTCATATAGGAAGCATAGTTTCGTTTTGCCGAAGATAACGCCTATCGTAATATAGGAAGTTACACAAAAATAACAATTGAATAAAGATCAAATACAAAATTAAATATTCGAATGTCGTTCTGTAAATGAAAACTATGTTTTAGTTATTTATAAAAAGAGAATATAATTCACTTTTTACGAAAATAAATTACATATAAGTATAGATTTATTACATACTTATTTATTTTGCAATAGAATGTAACAGCAGTTCTTTTTTAAATGATTATTTCTTTGGGTATTAATTGTATAAAGTACATATTATATTTACGGTGATTGTGTTATTTATGAACTCCTGTTGTTTAATGGTAAACATCTTGTTTATATATATTGACTGGTCTAGCTGTACATCAATTTACTTACGGTTGTCGCAAGTTCGATTCCTCGCACGATGCAAACATTTGTGAGGGAAACAGTCATGAATTTGATTATTTTTGGTCTATGTATTTATATCAGTTACCTAGTGCCCATAACACAAGCTCTGCTTAGCTTAGGACTAGATGGCGCTGTGAAAATGTCACATGGTTATTATTATTATATTATAACGTTTAAAAAAATTAAGAGTATTTTGGAAAAAAAATTATACTGATACAGATATTTGTATTCATATTCATAAAAACAATATTTGTTACATCACTAGTTACTATTATTTATATTTTCAAATTGGGCATATAAAACGGGTGTGAACTAGTTTCAAAGAGTTATTATCAGATATTTGTGTTGAACATTCAAGGCGTAACCCTGACAGATGCTGAGGTCGCGAACACATCGATAACTGTACAATTAATATACTAGCATCTGTAATTGACATCGGACCCCACACGACATAAATCAAGCCCTCACACCTTTCTAAAGTGGATAATCGAGCCCTCACACCTTTCTAAAATTGATAATCAAGCCCTCACACCTTTCTAAAGTGGATAATCGAGCCCTCACACCTTTCTAAAATTGATAATCAAGCCCTCACACCTTTCTAAAGTGGATAATCGAGCCCTCACACCTTTCTAAAATTGATAATCAAGCCCTTACACCTTTCTAAAGTTGATAATCGAGCCCTCACATCTTTCTAAAATTGATAATGATGCCCTCACACCTTTCTAAAATTGATAATCGAGCCCTCACACCTTTCTAAAATTGATAATCGAGCCCTCACATCTTTCTAAAATTGGTAATGAAGCCCTCACACCTTTCTAAAGTTGATAATCGAGCCCTCACATCTTTCTAAAATTGATAATGAAGCCCTCACACCTTTCTAAAATTGATAATCAAGCCCTCACACCTTTCTAAAGTTGATAATCGAGCCCTCACATCTTTCTAAAATTGATAATCAAGCCCTCACACCTTTCTAAAGTTGATAATCGAGCCCTTACACCTTTCTAAAATTGATAATGAAGCCCTTACACCTTTCTAAAGTTGATAATCGAGCCCTCACATCTTTCTAAAATTGATAATGAAGCCCTTACACCTTTCTAAAATTGATAATCGAGCCCTCACATCTTTCTAAAATTGATAATGAAGCCCTCACACCTTTCTAAAATTGATAATCAAGCCCTCACACCTTTCTAAAGTTGATAATCAAGCCCTCACACCTTTCTAAAGTTGATAATCAAGCCCTCACACCTTTCTAAAGTTGATAATCAAGCCCTCACACCTTTCTAAAGTTGATAATCGAGCCCTCACACCTTTCTAAAATTGATAATCGAGCCCTCACATCTTTCTAAAATTGATAATCAAGCCCTCACACCTTTCTAAAATTGATAATCAAGCCCTCACACCTTTCTAAAATTGATAATCAAGCCCTCACATCTTTCTAAAGTTGATAATCAAGCCCTCACACCTTTCTAAAGTTGATAATCGAACCCTCACACCTTTCTAAAATTGATAATCGAGCCCTCACATCTTTCTAAAATTGGTAATGAAGCCCTCACACCTTTCTAAAATTAATAATCAAGCCCTCACTCCTTTCAAAAATTAATCGAATATTTTTAGCACGGACTGCATGGTGAGCTATTCTAAATATTAAAAAGGTTAAATATAATAAATATGACATTTATTTATAGGTTTTATGATTCTTTTCGCCATCAGTATATATTTTGAGTCACAGTCTTCGCAATAAAGACTGATGAATGACAATGAATTAATAGTAATTAAGGAAACACTTGAATGGCTAACAAAGTATGGTGTATCGCCTTATATGCACTCGAGTAATTAAACTCTCATATCTTGCTTACAACACACGAGAGGTAGTGCTATTGAAATAGCCAAGAGGCAGAGGACTTTGCAGACATTTTGTACAAGTCTTTTATGAAGTTAGAAATTAATAATATTATGCGTTGGGAGAGGCCTATGTCCAGCAGTGGACTACAGTGCGGTGACGATGATGATAATATATCTTTAGCGAGGGCTGTGATGAGCAGGCAATTCTTTGTTTTACAAGTATCGAACTTAATGTTACTTGCATTTTCATTATTTAAAAATGTTTATTTGTTAGTTTCAGCATATATTAAGATAGATAAGATTGTTATTTTTTGATATATGATTTTATGAGTACTTATGACACATACACGCCTCTCGTGTTAGTACCTACTGTAATTTATTTTATATTACGATTCTATCCGCGAAAACCTGCAAGTGGCCGTTCTGATTTAATTACGTTTATGACTATGTTTGTAAATAGCCTTGGTTTTCCAAAAATAAATAATAAAAAAATATGATAGCTGATATGATATATGGTATGGTCTAACATGGTAATGATGACTACATTTGACAATAATCCGAAATGTAAACTTGGTTAACATAAGAAAAGGTTTGAACAAATTGAATGCTGATCATATTAATGTACTGTAACAAACTAACAAATTCGGTTTACTAAAATTACTTAACTTATTCCCAATATGAAGAATACGAAGTCGCGAGCGCATTTAGTTATATATGTATGTAATTATCAATAGTAGATAGTGTTTTTATTGAAGCAATATGGTCGGAAAATCCGAAGACTGTACCTCTAGAATCTATATTTAAAATATAATGATCACAGAGAGACGCTAGGAAATAGGAACGAAAGAGTTTTCCACCCAAACCAGCAGTAGCAGACTTTGTTCAAAACCGATTGTTAAGGAACCTATGTATCTTTTATTTCACCTATATCTAGCAGTTTCTCTATAGAAATCTTACAGAGTATAGAAGCCAGACAAATTGATCCTCTGAAGTGGTTACATGTGAGAACTAAGTACATATGTATTTTAAAAAAATCTAAGTATATCTATTAGTTGTCTAGCTCGGCTTAGCTTATTCCTAGATAGTGTTGTGTGAAATCCAACGTATTAAACCGGTATGTAAGTTTATTTTCTTTTCTATATTATAAGATAATTCAGCAATTACACTTTGGACAATTGCCGTCAGTTGAAGCACACTTGAAATGGGTATTGGATCGCTACTGGATGCAAATATGAATCAATTTAGTCCTATTTCCGTGATCAAACCGATTGAATCAAGCTCAAATGTGATTTTATTGGATGGTATTGAAAAATTCTAGTGTCTCTAAATTTTTGTACAATGTAAAGGATAAGAACGAAATTAAGTCAATTAGCCGGTTTGTAAGGAGTTTAAAGCAATTGTTTCCGAAGGGAACCAGATTAAGGTTGACCTGATAGACAATATTCCCCTGAAGCGACCAGACTTTATGGTTAAGTCAATATTCTTCCATCAATAAGCTAACGTTATTTAAATTATTATCAATTGCTTCAAGTGCCGTAATTGTGACTGACAATGTCTTCCATTTTAATTTGTAGACTTGCTGGTGTGCACCGAATAGTGTGCTTGCAGTGGCAAAGAATCATACATAAAGAAAGAGATTTGTTTAAATATTCCTGACCTACTTTAAAAAACAATATTAGTATGGTAGTTCATTTTTATGTTTATTATTAAATAAAAAGCAAACATAGCTATCCGCCATATTTTCTGATACAGCCATATCAATTTCTATTCTAAATAGGATTAACATCACAAACTGATTCTATATTGGACATGATACCTGCATGATTTATTAAACTAGGTAATCTAGGTAGAATTACTTTTGTGATACAAAAAATATCGATATTAGCACATAATGAGCGATTATAATTGACAAACAAGGATTTAAATATAATATCTACATTATTATTTAAGAAAAAAGAGTTTATTATTATTATATTCCGTTAGTAACAATTGTATTTCTAACGGAAGTTAGTAACAATTGTAAATTGTCACAAATTAAAATAATTTAAATAATTGACATGTGATCATGTGACAGTAAGAAAGATAGAAGCTAATTTGTACACTTTACAATTTAAATTATGAAATGATCCGTAAAAATTGTAGCAAGTCTATAATCTGTTTCAAACGAAAATTTTTAGTGACAACATTATTTATTTAAGCTTCAAATTTGAATTACAATTTATAACATATCGTATTTGCTTGATAAAGCTGCTAGATCGCCTACAGACCTTTATTATTGCTGTGGTCTGTGACGTAAATTCTATAAATACTCAGTTAGTGTTCTCTCGTCTTGGTTAAAGCGCGCGTATTGTTATATGAAATTCTGCTGCAAATTGTTATCAAAACAATGTATTTTGTAGGGTTATAACAAAATTGTTACAGTTCAGTTGAGTATCTATGATTTAATATTGCTACTAACAGTTCGTTTGGTTTGCCGAAACGTAAAAACTGGAATAAATAGTAAGATATTTTAAAAATATTGTTTTTGAGTTTTATTTATAATAACATTCTTGATTAGTGCCATATATACTTTGATTTGATTTAACATTTCAGATGACTCAAATGAACGAAAACATGTTTTATGTGATTGAGTTAGTAGATTTTCATCCGTTTATAAAATTCCATAAATATGTTTGCATACCAAGTTGCTGGATAATGCTGCGTGAAATATCAGACGATGCAGCCATCGTTAAATTTCCAACGGAAAAATGGTCCATTACGAAAAAACGTGTAAAGAAACAGGAAACATATTTAAGAGACTGGATGATTTTCAACGCCAATATTAAATACTGTACAGGTAGTTTTGTTTTGATTGTGGTACCTATAGGTTTAATTTTTATTATATTTATTAACTAACCATAAATTATTTTATAATTTTTTTACAAGTGACAATGAAAGATTTTCAGATTGAGAAAAAATTTAACACTGATCGCCAAGTGATCGAAATTCGAGCATAAATGATTTAACATTTAGTTCATTTAAGATTATAGACAAATAATATAAATTAATGTTATTCTCTATTTGACCACAAATTTAACAATAAACAAAAGAGTATGTAGGTATGCATAATCTAAAAGAATATTATTAGTATTCTGCACACCTTCTCTACGAGTATATAAACTGTAAGTGTGCGAAATATCATACTCATCCGTTCGCGCAATATTCGTAAAAGAGGTACAACATTTTTCTTCTAGTTTTGCAATTTGGTTTACAGATTCTTATAAAGATGCCAAAGAATACATCAAACTACTTAAAAAAATAACAATTCAAGAAAAAGGATATACTGAAAATACTGAAAAGGGTACGTAAAAAGAACTACGGTTTTTTAATATGTCATTTTCTAAGTGACTCTAACATACTCTCTTCTGTCTTTACATACTTTAAATACACTTTGTACAATAAAAAGCAATGTGTTCTAGAAAAAAAGGGCCTTGGGCGAAAGTTAGTACTAATCTTGACTATCTAAATGGTGTAGAAGTTTAGCACAATACCTCACTCTCCGATGATCGCAGTTCCCCCGTATAAAATAAGGCTGCGACACATGAAACATGTGCGTTTTATAAATTTACATACCATTTAAACGTTGTTATTATCAAATAACAGTTAAATGTTCCTTAGACCGAGGATTTTAAGGAACTTACTTGAGACACTTCGGTGTATGAACCGTACTTACCCTGAAGACGGCTTCTTAAGTAAACAGACTAAGTTCATCGAATTTCCGTTATATTTTATTGAAAATTTATTTAGATTTATTGAAATAATATTTAAAAATTAAGTTTGATTCAAGATTTTATATTTATATTTATATGACTTTAGAATTTATACCTACATGTTTTTGTTTCTAAGAAGAAAATTTTGTCATTTAAATTTAGATGAAAATAACTAATAAGAATGCCATAAAATTTGTGGAAAATCGTTTTAGGCTCGCTTAGGAAAAGAAAATACTAATAGAAAAGCTGAATAGAAAAAATATGTTTATTGCAAAAATTTCTAAATATCTAATTGACATAAAAAAATACGACATTTAAGACTCTCTTTTTAAAATATTGACATAAAAAAGAATTGTACATAAAACCTCAACAAAATTATACTCAAAAATTCAAAATTTATGATAATCTATGAATTATAGTCGCGTTACTTCCGATATCGCGGTTACGATTCCTCGCACGGTACAAACATTTATTTTCATCAGTATAACTGTATGTATTGGTCTGGTTCTTTTATATGTAAACTATAATATACATGTATTTATTTAAAAATAGTAGTAATAAAGAAAGGTTTCTAGGCACATTTAAGAAATATAAATATTTATTCCATTTAAAGCTACTTTAAGTTTCAAGGGATTTTTTTATACTACTATTGATGTTTACAATATTATCAATACATTCAGGCTTCTATTCCTAATTATATTAACTTAATTATGTCTTTTCCAGACTTAACATCTACACCTGACGAAGAACAAAAATCGCAATCTGATTCAGAAGATGATGAACTTATGGAATCTCTAACTGTGACACAAGATGGACCGATTCCAGCCGTTGTTAATTCACAAAATGAACAATATTTATTAAACAACAATAATAAGCAGTTACAAGAGATTGAGAGTTCTGATCAAGAACGCAATAAATATTTCACCAGGTATTCTGCACAACACTCTTCACTAGCAGCCAAAGTTAATTTAATGGAGCAAGCTGTACCGAAGATGGTGATAATGGTAAAAAAATTAAAAAATGGATTTGACGAGAGCATTAATGCTGATGATAACGAAAAAGAAAACATGTCATCATTGAATAATATTCCCAAGTTTCAGAATCAATTACAACCCTCGTTGATTTTACAAACACTATTTAGTAGTGAGTTTAGGCAATTATTAAACGACTTGTATTCTGAATGTGAAAAAAATAAATTCATGATTGAAGCCCTGTATCATGCGTATTCTAAGCACTGTATGGCGATAAAGACATTTCTTGACATGCTAGATAAATTTCAGAATATTATTAATACATCTGATGTTCCAGCAATAAAAAAAATAGAAGAGAATTCTGGTAACAGAATTGACAATAAAAATAAAGAATTGAACCAAAAAGAAGTCCATGGGCATAAAGAAAAATTAGATTCTCGTGATGCAAAGGAGGAAGGCAGAAATATGAATAAAAAAGACAAGACAGATGATAACAATACTGACCACGCTCCGAGCAAAATTGAACGTCGAGATCGATCATTCACATTGCCACCAGAGTATGACGAAAATGACTCGAAATGGACAATAAGGCATCGCAATAAAAAGAAGGGACTCGTTGAACTCATGCCTCATTCAGGTGTATACATCAATGCCATGAAACTAAACAATAGTAAAAGACATTCAAATGATACTAGGAGTTTTGCTCGAAAATTGTTACCGGAAATTTTTACTGAGAACGCATTGAGAACGTGTTCTTTAACTGGCAAAAAAGCCTGCGTATTTGATCCTGATGGCATACATGTAAGGCCTGGACTGGATAATCATGCAAGAATGGTCCTATTGGATTATGTACAAAAATATTCACGTAAAAGAAACTGGATTATACTGGACAGGCAGTTACTTCATACATGTCTTCGTAACAAAATTCATAATATTAGAAGCAAGTATAATAATACACAAGTTGGAAATAATTGCACTTAGTAATAACAGTACACATAGGAAAGAAGGAGTTTGCCACTTATTTTAATTATATGATTACATAATTATTAATTGATAGTAATTTTAAGAATGTACTTTTAATTCTTGCGGATTCCAAATATCATCGCTTCATCTATTCTCTGTCAATTGATTAAATTCTCACCAAATGATTATGTTACAATTTTTTGTCTTTCGTTAATTAAAATATTTTTATAAACAGAAATCTGTCTACTATAGCATCCAAAATATAAATTATCCTACTTTCGTGAAAATATCAAATAACAGGTAAAAATAACTATTTACCTATGATAACAAGGGGATTAATAACACCATGGCTAGCAATGTACCAAGTCAGGTTAACTTATACGTGGCTACCCATGGAAACGATTGTGATAAATTCTTGGTGAATATACCACTATAGATTAACTAACCTGAATTCATGCTCATTTTATCATCCTCCACTGATGCCCCACCAGCGTAAACCGTTAGTGCAGAAATCCACAAGACATCCACAAGAACAGCTTACCTATGTTTCTTATATTTTTATTTTGTGTCTAGTTAACTGGTGTTTCTTGCAATTGTTGTGGATGTTATATACTGTCCATGAATAATAATAAAAAATCTTACTATTTATCACCTCATAAAATTTTGGTCATAATCAGTTGTCGTTTTGTAAATAGTAATGAGAATAAATAATATAAGCATATCGGAAAAACTTTATTTATTTATTAAGTTACAAAACTTATTGTCACCAAAAGATACAATTTTATTTTAATTAAGTCTTACATTTTATTTCTTATTTATAAATTATGAAACTACCTAACTTAAACTTATAGTATAAAGATAAAGTCAGGTAATTGAATAAATAAGCATTTAGTAACAGCAAACTGTCAAAAATATGAGATTTCAATTCTCGTTTAAGTATCCACCTACAATTAATGAATGTCTAAATAGTAATTTACTTTATCTGTCCTTTGATGTTGAAAAATATTTATTGTTAATTTGCTATTACTAAACGTCTGCACAATTATTTATGTACATTTCCTACGTTGTATGTAGGTACCATTTTATGTAAACCATAATAATAAATAGAATTATATAGTAGTATATAATTATAAGTAAAAAAATTATGTGTTCATACGCCACATTAACAATTTTAACGTCTTTCAACGTCAGGAACTTAATTTTGAGCACTCCTAATATCTCATACAATAATCTTTAATAATTTCAAGAGAATCCTTATTTACCTACTAATTTTAGATTTAGCAATATTTGTTTTATTTTATATCAATAAATATTATTAAAATATACAAATGATTTCCTAATATTTATTACGTATATAAAAAACATTTGTAATAATAAATTTGTCATGTGTTAAATCATAAATAAAATAAATATTATTTCTGTATTTTGTCTATATATTTAATCAACAATGGTAATACAAAAATACGTATATATGTACAAACAACAATAACTACATATGTTTTTAACGTACTGCATATTTTGTTTGAACAGTGTATTATATCTACAGAAGTATTCCCTTGCTAAAATAAGCTACCTACAGATCAACTATAAAAAAATAAATCACACTATATCACACTGTTTTTAGAACTTATCCGCACTATAAATTTATAATCACTCATTTTTTCTAAATATTTATTTTGTTTCAGCATCTTGCAGTTTCGTAGTTTAGTTCTATTTTTTTAAATAGTTTTTGTATATAGTCGCGCATTTTTTATTTGTATATACAACAAATAAAAAATGCGCGATTAAAATTTGTAGTGCAGATTAATCTTATTCCTACATAAGTTGAATCTATATAGATTCCTCTCTTAATTATATGGAAATGTTTGACAATTCTGGGTGTACATTTATTAAAAACACTTTGTTCATTATTACTACATAAAAGTTTTGTTCCATAAAGAATGTAAATGCATCACACACCACCGTATATACAATTTTTCACATACTCAGGTAAATAATTATTTTAATGGAATTTAATATACTTATCACATTTTAATTCACATAAAGTACACTTTTAGATAATAGTTGCTTTAATTTATTATTATATATTTACCATCTAATTTCATTGAGCAACAATATGGTCCATATTTTTTTATAGCTAAGTAATAAGTCTCAATTGATCATTTTAAAAACATAATTACCTATTTATTATAACCAATCAGTACTTGTTCGATTAATTTCATATTAAATTAAAAATAAGAATGACAAAGGATGTTTGGTAGAGAGCAGGTGCTGTTTACCGGACAGCAGTGAGTTTCCATTTCAGAAGAATGAACGCAGCTGTCCGGAGCACGACGAGGAAGATCGTCAGCGCCATCACATCCCACCAGAACATGTTGGGGACCATTGCGATGTCTTTGAGGAACGTCTCAGGAAGTCTATAATAATAATTCATTTATTTGTTACAGTACAACAAAAGTAGTCATATATGAAAACATGGCCCTTACAAAATCTGCTTATATGAAGCGTACAAATATTTATCCCGTATTTTATTCAAATTAAATATATGTTATTGATCTATCGTATAATATCAGCCTTATTTGGTTGCCCACTCTCGAAAGGACTAACCTGGGAGAATTTTACATTTATTTTGTTTTCGAGCAGCATCTGCAGCATCAGCATCACGACTATTACTTCTCACTGTTATCATCATCTTCATTATTATATTGCAATATTTTTTAATTAAATTAATTTATTTAATTTAGCTTAATTTGATTATGGACAGATGCAGGACAATAAGATTTATATTAACAGTAATATTTATTATCCTATTATACTTATTTGTAAAATTACTTCTTCTATCTATTAAATAAAATTATCAGTGTTAGTTGCCATAATTTCCGAAACAGCTTAACCGATTTTGATGATATTTTATATGATCGTTTCATATACTCGATGAGTCGGAAAATAGGTTATCTATTTCTAAACCACTAAGTTAATAACCACTAAATAAACTTCCACTTTAACTGACCTTTAAAAATATTTTTTAGATTTGTACAATTCTTTTATGATGAGGCATTCAAAATACATACACTCCTATATTTTCGTCCTTCTACCGTCAACCTATATTTTTAAATAGCGATATTAATTTATATGGCAAAACAATGTTTTCTAGCTCAAGCTAGTTTTTTTTAAAGATACTAGCTAGATAGATAGCGGATCCGCACACCTTCGTCACTTATCATTATATTTCGTCCAATTTACATAATATCTTTTTAAATTATAGCTTATGTGTTATTCTGATGTTAGCTATATTACTGTATCATTAAAATTTCATTCAGTGCATTCATGCATGAAAGAGTAACAAACATTTATCCATCCATACACGTAACCTTAAATTTTTTTATAACTTAACATAACATTACAACAACATTAACATTAACTTACAATATTAGTAAAGTAAGATTACGTACCTGTAATGGCAATATAGTGCCTCTTCACATTCTAACTTTTCCCGGTCATTCCCATAGATAGCATCAATGAAGCCTTCAAGTCCGTACCTAAGGTACGACACGTAAGAGCCCCAATACAAATATGAAGGTAGATCTCGCAGCGTCACTCCGAAACCGGCAAACATCATCATCGGCACAGAGAAGGTAGGACCCAGGAATGTGCCATTCTGAAGACAATATATTTTTTAAAGTATAGGGGCAAGCGAGCTTGCGGCTCGCCTGATGGTAAGTGATTACCGCCATTAGTGAACACCCGCAATTGCAAGTACGTTGCCGGCCTTTTAAGAAGAAATAATCTCTTTTTTTAATATCGTATCGGTTTGGGAATACCATTGCTGGAAGGGAATTCACCAAACGTACTATTTTAAACTATACCGTGTAAAATTACGTCAAAATCCGTTTTTCATGAAAGAGTAACAAACATGCATGCATAATTACAAACTTTCGCATTTATTACTAGCAGTAATAAATGCGAAAATAGTTAAATTACTATAAAAAACTAGCTGTCCCGGCAAACGTTGTTTTGCCTTAAAATAAAATAAAAAAATAGGCGTGGACTACCCCTAACATTTAGGGTGATGAAAAATAGATGTTGGCCGATTCTCAGACCTACTCAATACGCTCACAAAATTTCATGAGAATCGGTCAAGCCGTTTCGGAGGAGTATGGGAACGAAAACTGTGACTCGAGAATTTTATATATAAGATATATCCTATATGTTATTCTGATGTATAAGGTATTTTACTGTAAAATTTCATCAAAATCCGTTTAGTAGTTTTTACGTGAAAGAGTAACAAACATCCATACTTACAAACTTTATAATATTATTAAGATAGTCAGATATAAAAGTGAGTACTTACAACAACATTGAAGGCCGCGCCGATCATAAGACCGAAGCTCTGTGCTACAAGTACTGTGTACAAAGATATGACGAAGAACATTAAGAACCGGTTCATGTCCAGTGGTTGTCCTGACATAGTGTACACTATCACACTAAATAGAGCACACGACACTACCTGGAATACATAATTAATTACATTTTTTACATAATGTCTCACGACAAGAGGGGAAGGGTATTATTAGTGATGTGGATTAATAACGCCTGTACTGTATTGTACTAAGTCAGATTGACCTTGTTTACAGGGGGACCCCTCCTGGAAACTATCGTGATAAATTGCTGCAGAATTTGTTACGATGGGCTAAGTGACTTGACCTCATGTTCATCTTATCATTCTCCACTGGTACCCCGCTAGCGTAAACCGTTAGCGTAGGCAGGTGCACCATTCCAATATCATCCATTTCAAAAAAATAATAGATATAAAAAATATATAATCATCAGGACAAAACGCAAAAGTATCCGATATTTGTTCAAAAATTAAAAAAAAAATCAATACACTGAATAAAAATACTCACAGAAATTGGCAGATCCACTATAGTTATAGATACATAATAAGACCCTAGCGAATACCATCTATTGAAATGTTCTTTGGATAATATAGACATCTCTGCAGGGACTGGAACATAAATAAATAATTAATATGATATTTCATCGTACATTTCTAAAATTAAATTACATTACAATAAATGCTGCACATTATTATATTTTATAGACATTATTTTTGCCACCCCTATTGTCTCAGACTACGGTAGCCAGTTACCATCAGGTCGGCCGTCTGCCTGTTTACCACCAATATAGTACAAAAAAAAAGAAAATATACAACAAATTTATTGAATATCTACAATATAAAAAAGAAACATGAAAGTTACAAAATAAAACATGCATTGACATTATATTAAAACAAGCGGTTGGGCTTCTAAATAAAGGACAAAATCAATATCGAGAGGTGTTAATTTGAATGCCAATACAAGGTGGAACACATATTTATTTAGGTATTTTGTTTTTTGAAACTGTAAGATGTACTTCAAGGATTAAGTGCAGGTTTATTAACAACGTTGTCAACAATAGTCCTAATTGGTACATGGTTTTATTAAAAAAATATGTACACTAATATTTCTTTAACTAAAAACTTCGAAATAAAACTATATGTAAAATTTGTAGCAGTAGTAAGTAAAAGAAATAAGAATTTAAATAAAATTAGTAATGCAAAGAAATAGTGGCACGTAGAAAAAACAAATACTTTGTCATTTGACTTAATCTATGACAAACACATACAATACTGTATACTACGTTGATTTAAAAAAATTACATAAGTTTGTGCTGTTAAGAAGTAAAAAAATGTTAGTTTAAAATTGGGGAAAAGAAGAATAAATTTATAAATAATTTCATTCATTAAGAAATATAAATACGAAAACGCAGTGAAATTATCGATTCAACAGTTCAAGATCAAGATCAAGTACTCAGTTGCCAATAATATTATTACCCGAAATTGTTACTTTAACCATTTTAAAAGTAGATAATACTTACATGTTAAAATAGTTAACATCATCGGAGACATCATGTGGTGCATTAATATGGCAAACAGCAGATTATAATTGTCGAGAACTCTGGAGCCTTCGTTACCAGCATTAATGAATAGCACTCCTAACATAAGACCCACTACTATGTTTACCATAACGCGGAGATGAGTCATAGTCTGAAATATAGAAAGTAACCTTTTATTATATTTTACTTAGTAATTGTAATTCAATTGGAACTGCTGGTGAAAATGACAATGAAGTCATTATAGTTGTTGCCCAGATATATTAATAAAATGTAGTGGTCCCCCAGTGGTCAAAATTCAGCCACAATTAATTTATATTACAAGTTTGAATATTATTAAGATTCTATTGTCAAAGATTATAGATAAATAATGTTAAATACAAACAATATTAATATATTCTCAATTAACCACACACTTTCAAAACAGCATATAAAGTATTACTTAAAAAAAAGTCTATCTAAACTATAACGATACTTGCGCTAACGGATGAGCATGATATTTCGCACATATCATACTCCTTCGTTAGCGCAATTTTCGCAAAAAGTGGTATAAATATTGGCTTCACGTATTATATACGTATATATTAATAATCCAGAAGAATTCACACTAATTATACTTAATGAGTTATTTATCTTAGTGAATGAGCGATCAACATGAAAACGTTAAGTTAAAAAGTTTTCTAAAATATCCCAATTTTCTGACTTTTTTTTCTTAAACTTTTCGTTCTGCAAGAACCTTCTATGAAGTATTCGAAATCATAATAATATGAGTAAATCAGTTTAGTCGGTCTGAACTTATTGCGTCATTAATTTATATTTACTATATATATTCATAGGATATTCTTCTTTGTTGGAAATATCAATCTATGCTTTCATGCTAAGTTACTTGGGGATTAAGTAGAGACTTTACTAAGTATTCCATTTGAAAATGAATACATTATAACAAAAATTAACTTTATTCAAATAAACATAATTTAACCACTTTTGAATAGACATATTTTTTTTTATTCTATCACTCAATCGAAACACAGATTCATCACAAAAAGAAAAACCAAGCAATGCAAGAACAATGAGCAAGTAAATAATGAATTAAGACATACTCAAAAATTTTTAATTATTAAAATGAGAATATGGCTTAACTTACCGAATCACGTTTCGCTTTCAGGAATCCTCGTCTGATAAGTACGGATCCTTGGTTCCATTGTGAGGTTTCTTCCACCGAAGAACCTGGGTCCAGGTTTCTGAGTTCACACAGAGGGTGTAGTTTCCTGAGGGCTTCCATACTCGGTATAGTGTCTGGTTCATCGAGCCATTCCAATGATCTACCATTGTCAGTCTTGGACTTTAGATATTTTATTTTGTCTTCACCATATTCGCCTGATGCCAGCTCGATTACTGCAAACAAACATTGTGTATGTGAGAAAGAGAAGGTAGTATTATGTCGTCTTTAGCTCACACTGCTGGAGTCATAAGGCCATTACAAACATGTGTATTTATGAGTATGATTGATTGTATCAGTCTGGGTATTTACTACGTATGTTATGTATTTATTTACAAAAAAGGGTCAATATTTATATCAGCTGTCTAGTAACCATAACATAAGTTCTGTTTACTTTGGAACTAAAAGGAATTATATGAATTGTATAAATATAAAAAACATAAAACTTTACCATAATCAGCAGGGTTGTGGTATATTGGGCAAGGTATCCGGGCATTCTCCAGGTAAGGTACCAATTTTTCTGTGGTGCCTTGATAGAGGCATTGGCCAGCTGCCAATACGTATACGTGGTCAAAAACTCTGAACAGTGAGGCGGATGGCTGGTGGACCGTACATACAATGGTGCGTCCCTGATGAGCTAGCTTCTGGCAAAGTTGTACCACTTGTGTACAAGATGAACTGTCAAGTCCACTGGAAATATAAAAAATAAATTTACTCGAAATACCGTATCCACAGATTATAATACAAGTAGTGTATGTTCCATCCTAGACTTTGGCAAAATTATTATAAAAAAAAATATTAGAAATATATTATGGTAACATTTTCGAAATCCGGAATGGCAATACATGTGTATATGTGGGTATTACGAGTGTCACGTGATTTATGATCACGTGATATCCGTGGTAATGTTTAAGTATATAGGTTACTTACGTGGTTGGTTCATCGAGGAACATTATGAGCGGATTGTTGATGAGCTCCAATGCAATGGACAGCCTCTTCTTCTGCCCTCCGGACAATTGAGAACCTCGTGTATTTATATGTTCATATAATCCAAGGTTCGATAATATGTTTTCAATCTGAAATAGTAATATTATTCTTCAAATACAATTATATCTACATATTTATACTTTTAACTGAAACGGTTGGGGGTAGTGGGATTGTTAGTAATGTGGACTGATGACCCCATAGCTAGCAATATACTATGTAAGGTTGACCTCCACGCGTCCACCAGGAAGCTATCGTCATAAATTCCTGGTATATTTGTCACGATATTTGAGCTATATGACTTGACCTCAAGGTCATCTTATCATCCACCTCTGGAGCCCCACCAGCATAAACCGTTAGCGCAGACGGGTGCACCATTCCCATCCAAAAAAAAAACTGAGATGGTTCCTTTGACCTGCTACAGGGTCATAAAATTTTCCCGTGTTTAATTATGATACAAAAATAAACTAACTATAAATATATATATAGTATAGAAATATTTTTTACTATTAATAAATTATTTAAAAAAATATATCAATAAAAGAAATAATAATTGTTTATTCGCTTCTATATACTCATATAAACATAAACATGACATTGAGACTAGTTAAAACTAGGACAAAAAATACGGTGTTCATGAATTGATTAACTTCTTGTAATACCTGTTGAGTAACTGATAAAAATGTAATACAACCGATTTTCATTAATTATTCATAGATTGAGATTAAAAGAACTGATTTATAGATTGTTATTGTTACAATTTTGGGTCTTTTTAGATATTTATATACGTAATAAAAAGGAAGAAAACATTTGAATAACGAACATCTACTAAAGTGTCAAGATGGAGAGAAAACAAAATTGTACACAACTGGACTCTATAAATTTGAGCTTAAACATAATTATTCAGAATCATTTCTATGAAAATGGATTGGTATTATTTAAAAGATATACTATTATCTCATAAAAAACAGACGAACTTTCGGATATTTTATAATTAATATATTATTAGAGAAGTACTTTAAAGTAATAAGGAGTAAAAATATAGACTTCTTTTGACAAAATAAAATTACAAAGTTACAAGTAATAGCTAGTACTAATATTATAAATAAGTGTATCTGTCTGTTTTTTACCGTACCTCATGAAATGGTTGAATAGGCTAAATTTGAGGCTGATAAAGTAGAGTGTATTATGAGAACGGAAATAAGCTATTATATCACAAAAAAGCAGGCAAATTTCTCGACGTTTTATAATTCCTTTATTGTTAAAGAAATAATAAGACATATTTTTTTTATTATACCACTCATTCGGAAAGCAGTCTCATCACAAGACGAATGAGAGCAAGAAACTTACTTGTTATTCAGATAGACAAATGTGATTCAGAATTACATTTTTAAGAATTTTGTATGAATACCAACTGCAAAATCGCAAGTTAATAGTTACTGAGGTAACAAAATAAATCAGTCATAGTTATCAGAGCAGAGCAGTCCCTACAAGGAGCACACATTCACGAGTAGGTGCCGATATAAGGCAATACAATTATAGGTAGGTAGCATTAGGCATGTTTGGACTTTGATAAATTAGTCACCAGCTGTTTTAATGAGAATATTAATATGTAGATAAACAATTACAAGCCCTAAGCGACTGTTTATCAATTTCAATATCATTAAATGACATTGTTGAGAAAATATTCCTTATTATCATTACTCTGTGATTGACATCGTTGTTAAAATGTGAACAGTTGATTAACAAAGTACTTACAGTAAAGTATCTATGGTACCTACAGCAATAGATAGTATAATTCAGTCACACTTGAGTGTCGTGTTAGTAATTTATATTGTATACCAGTATTATCCGCGATTTTATCTCATTTGTTAGTTAAAAAATCTCTAAGTATATAGATATCGATCCTGTGATATAATCTATCTTCCATCAAATTTCCTTAACATTCCTCCATTTAAATAGAATAGAATAGAATAGAAAATCATTTATTCAAATAAACTTACATTGAAGCACTTTTGAATAGTCATTACATTTTTTTTTAATCTACCGCTCGTTCGGAAAGCTGTCTCATCACAAGAAGAACGAGCAAGAAACTTGCGTGTTGCTCTTTTAAATAATTTTATTATTACTTTACATTTTTAAGTTTAAGTGTGTGAATACAAACCACCAATTAGCACTAATTCAATTAAATATTCAAAAAGAAAAAATATTGAATACATAACCAACTGGTTAAACAATTAATAAGAGGAAATCAGTCATAGTGATTAGAGCAGACCAGTCCCTACAAGCAGCACCCGTTCACGAGTATGACGGATGAGCCAGCCATCACTGCGCTCGACCATATTTTAGGGAGCCCAATGACCCGGCCCACCACGCCGCCACAAGTCTGGACATTTTAGTGAGCATGACTACTCAAAACACTAGACCACGTCAAAGCTACTCACAATTGCCATCTGATAGTTATAGTATTCACGTTTTACATAAGAATGCATGCGGCAATTAATACAAAAACCGCTACGCTTTCATATTTCTAAAATCAATCAATTAAATCAAGAAAGCAATGAGAAAATAAATTATAACGTTGTATGCTAATAAACTAATTATTTACTTGATATATTGTCATCTATGAATTCGTCTATCCTGTAATAGGCTTTCTTACATAAAAATTGTTTAATGTAAGATTTGAATTGCTTCTCTGTCAGATTTAATGCAGATTCTGGCAGTTTATTATAAAATCTTATGCAATTACCATAGAATGAATTACTGATTTTGTGCAGACGGCATTTAGGTAAAATAAGCTTATTTATATTGCGTAAGTTTCTACTTGTACAGTCTTTGAGTTTTTTAAAACTCTCTAAGTTTTTCCGTGTATACATAATATTTTCATAAATGTATTGTGAAGTAACTGTGAGGATATTTGAGTCTTTAAAGCACTGACGTAATGACTCTCTTGAACCCATACCATAAATAGAACGTATGGCTCTCTTTTGTAAAACAAATATAGTATTTATATCGGCTGCTTTACCCCACAGCAGTATGCCATAAGACATTATGCTATGGAAATAACTAAAATATACAAGTTTAGCCGTCGCCACGTCTGTTAATTGCCTAATTCTTCTAATTGCATATGCAGCAGAACTGAGTCTACTGGCCAATTTTGAAATATGGGGCCCCCATTGTAATTTCGAGTCTACTGTAATACCTAAAAAAACTGTATCATTAACAAAATTTACTATTTCGTCATTAAGCAATAACTGTGTATTTATTAGTCTTACATTAGGAAGTGTAAATTTTATACACTTCGTTTTGCTGGAATTTAATAATAGGTTATTACATGTAAACCAATTTAATATTGCAGACATAGCACAATTTACATCGTCTAATTGATTACTTTGGCGTCCAATTTTAAACACTAACGAAGTATCATCCGCAAACAGCACTATATCTGCAATTTTCTCTACCATAAAGGGAAGGTCATTTATGTAGATTAAAAAGAGAAAGGGGCCTAAGATTGACCCTTGTGGAACGCCCATCTTAATATTAGCTCCCTTAGATTTTACACCGTCAATATCTACAGTTTGGACCCTATCCTCTAAATAAGTTCTCATTAATTTTAGATCATTATCTCTTATACCATAATGTTCGAGCTTGTACAAAAGCGTTTTATGATCCACACAATCAAATGCCTTTGATAGGTCACAAAAAACTCCGAGTGCATCCTGTGACTTCTCCCAAGATTCGAAAATATGTGTCATTAGCGCAACACCTGCGTCAGTGGTAGACTTGCCGGCGGTGAAACCATATTGCTGACTGTGAAGCAGTCCGTTAACCCTGAAGTGTTGTAACATTTGATTTAACATTATCTTTTCAAACACCTTACTTAGAACTGGCAAAATAGATATAGGTCTATAGTTCCCTGGCTCAAATTTATCTCCTGATTTAAATAGTGGGATTAATTTACTAAATTTCATTAAATGTGGAAAAACGCCATTATCAATACATTTATTAAAAATAGTGGCTAGATATGGAGCAACAATATCTATGAAAGAACTAACTACTTTTACAGACATGCCCCAAAGGTCTTCCGTATTTTTTAAATTTAGCTGTTTGAATATTTTTATGATATGAAAGGGGCTAACATGTGAAAATTTAAATCTTAAAGAACAACAACCGATATTAGTCTCTAGTAATTTTTTTGCTCGAGATTGAGATGAGTCCAGAGAAGATGTAATATCAATCGGAATATTAACAAAAAAATCTTCAAAAATATTAACTACATCTTTTGTTGTTGTTATTAATTTATTATCATAATTTAATGTAAATTGATTACAGGCTATTTTAGATCTTCCAGTTTCTTTATTTATAATGCTCCAGATGGTTTTAATTTTGTCAGAAGACTGCTTAATTTGTTTATTAAAAAAATTAGACTTAGCCATAATACAAACTTTTTTAAAAATTTTAGAATAATTTTTCACATAAGTGGTGAATTTGTCATCAAATCGATATTTTTTTTGATCGTATAAATCAAACAAAATATTTCTACTTTTAAGTATTCCTACTGTTGCCCATTCCGTGAATTTAGATTTAACATGAACTTCTTTTTTCTTGAAAAATTGTTCATATTCTCCGGATAAAATATTAATTAGCTTGGTGTAAAGATAATCAGGATTATTACTAGATTGTAACAGCAAATCCAATTTATTTTTAATCGCGCTTTTGTATTTATTAATATTGTAAACATTTATTTGTCTTTTTGATTTTTTATTATTGTTGATTTTATTGATTTGACTGCTAAACTTAACAACTTGACCACAGTGATCTGAAGGAAGTTTATTTATTATGAATTTTTCTGTATACTCGCAGTTACAAAAAACATTGTCAAGACAAGTAGCAGACGTGGCAGTTACACGAGTGGGTTCATGAAAGACATGACATAAATCAAACGACTGAAATAAACTAATAAATTTTGTACATGTGGGTGTGTTACAAAGAATATCAACGTTAAAATCTCCACATACAATAACTTTTTTAATACTATTAAATACTTTTTTTAAAATATCCTCCATCACCCCTTCAAAAACATTGTAATCACTATTAGGAGGCCTGTACACACATATAAGGATATAATTTTCTAGTTCTATACAAGATAATTCTATACAACACTCAATAGAAAGTCTAACAATGTCAGCACGTTCCTTTACTTTAATATTATTTCTTGCAATTATCATAGACCCGCCTCTGTTAACTGACTTTCTATTGAAGCAGCTGACAACGTTATAATTATTTAAATTGAACATCATATTGCTCTCTTTAAGCCAATGTTCTGTGAAACAGACAATATCAATATTATACTTTTCTAAAAATAATTGTATAATTAACTCGCTGCCGGGAAAACTTTGTATGTTCTGATGAACAATTATTAATTCTGATTGCTTTCCCTTTGTCTTTGTGAGCAGTTTAAATCTGCAGTCATAGTACTTATGTCACAAATATTAATAGAATTATTTGTTATGTCAGTATTTTTATGTTTAAGTTTACCATGTAAACTGTTCATGTAGTCAATATTATAAGCCACTAAAGTGGCTATTTTATTTTTAGATGATTTAGAAAGATACATTGTATCTTTTGTCAAATAAAAATCACTAATAAAACTATTAGTATCAAAAAATGTAAAAATGTCACTATGACGACATGTCAATGTATGTAATAAGTTATTCAGGTAATGTACCTTACTGTTAATTTTTTTATGAAGATGTCTATTTGTGTAAGGAAAAGCGCACAATACAATCTTATACACATTTAATTGTAATAAATATTCAATTCCTTTAATTACATCCTGCCTATTTAATTGAATACTATTACCAAAAAATAACACAATTGTGGTCATATTGTTCATTTTCGTAGACTTAATTTTATTTATTATTTGTGTAAATGATGCTTCTGGCATGCAGTAGTTTAATAAATGTGAAAAGGTAATAACAAAAAGACGAACACACCTTTGAATTAATAATAAGTAACAAGTAACTTTCAATATCATATTTATTTATACTTAACAGCCTAAAAATAAGTTTTAAACAATTACGATATATCCTACACTCTTAATTTACAAGTACCTTGTCTTCCTTTTCAATCCCTATATTCAAATTAAAAAGTAGTCTATGTCCTTTCTCAGGATCTAGACTCTGTGTGCCGAATTTAATTTAAATCAGTAGTTTTGGCGCGAAAGCACGACAGACAGAATTGCTTTCGCATTTACAATATTAGTAAGTATAAGGATCAATATATTCGTAATATATAATTATTATATAATATTCTAATTTCGGCGAAGGACCGGGGCAGATGGTTTACTTTAGGGAATATTGTACTCACCACTTCTCCTTTGTCGTATACATCCATAGTGGTGGGTAGTTTGAGGTCGGCTGCCAGTGCCATGTTCTCACCCACTGTCAGCAAACCCTGTAGACGGTCATCTTGCTGGATGTAGCATGACATCTTTTTGAAGTTTTCTGTAAACACATTTTACATAATATTTATAGAGCTGTGTCGAATATCGAATATTATATGAAAGAGACTGCTTAATATTAAAATTAAAATTACATATACATGCAGTTTTGTGCGTCTGTTTTGTCACTTTTCATAAAGTATGGAAACGAGGATCCAGAGAAATGGTAACATCTAAGGAGTTCTTTTTTAAAATGTTTTTACTGCGAAGCTACTACTTTTGTCATGATAAAAAAACAATCAGTCTATGCATATATTCTTCATTTCTGTACAATAAATATGTAAAATCACAATTTGTCATAAGGTTTACTTAAGAGAACTGATGCGTAACATGAATTCCATCGACTTATATAAAGTAAACTATATTCCATTGCTAACTAATGTGTCAAGTAAACATTAGAATTTGGCGTCAAATTTGTCACGATTACTTTGAACGGTCTATGCACGATACTAACGTAAATATAAATCGGAGGCAATATGGGAAAGTGTTGGTGAAGGAAAATCAGATGGAGTGGATATACTCTATTTTTTTTAAATTACAATGTACAATACTAATGGTAAGAAGAAACCGTCGCCTATATACTTGAACAGCATTGTGGCATCACGTTATTAGGCGACACCATTCATTAGGTGAAGCCATTCATGCATTGCCATTCCAAAGGATTAAAATATAGCTTAAAATCCTGTAATTTTACTGCCTAATCTGCACCCTACAACCAAAAAACAACTTACAAAGTAAATTGCTTACTAGCTTAAATAGGTGAGACTTAGGTATAGAGTCTAACGTTTGGTCAAGGTTTCGCTACACGAAGTCATCTGCGAAACAAGAGTTGTGTGTAGAACAATTATATTCTGGTGTTGATTAACATCACTGTGACATACATATAGCTACATAATACATGTACTACCTAAGTATTAATCTATTCCTAAGCACAAACTCTTATAGATTAGGTAAAAAAAATTTTGTTGTGTTTTTTTACAAGAAATTGAGCTTTTCAAATTACATTTAATTAATCTTGTACACGGAAACCAAAATACAGATTCATATTTAAATTAAACTCCAGAGAATGTAGCGACCACCAGCACATGCTATTCCATTTTAGTCAAAAGGAAATCATTTAATCAGTAGCCATAAACGAACAGATGAGACCCCACAAGCAGTTCCCCCATTTAGATATTACCAAATGCTGATGGATGTATATCCGCGTGGTGACGAAGTATCAATATCATTTGTCACCATTTATTCTAATCACAAGGATATGTGATGACTCAGAGAACAAAGTGCAAATACTCGCTATAGTTGTACTTTGACCTGTTAATCGCCTCTGTATGTCAGAGAAGGAAGCCTCGCAAGTGTAGTATTGATAATTGAAAGTAATGCTATTCATCAATGTACCCGTAGATGTACGTAGACTTTTATTTTGGAATATACATATCCTTAGTTACGGAGTATATATATATATACATATATTTACTCCATATTTAAGGATTTCTACTAGATTACTCTTTTCTCTCTGTCAGGTAAACACACAGACATACTATCGCATTTTCCATATTAGTATGGACTAGTATGGTTGTTATGTAATTTTACATTCATAAATTCGATACAATGCTTTAACAACTGTCCCTGCAAAAATCTCAAGGCTTGTCTCAGAAATCTATCTACATATAAAAAAATGTAACTAATCTCTGTCAATACATAAAAGACATATGAGAAAGTAATTGTTAGGGGACCTTCTTAACATAATAAAAACACAAACTACAAATTTCAAACGGCTTAACATATTAGGGTGCAATTTTCAGTAATATATTGTGGTAAACTTCAATTGAAATTTGGTGGTTAGTTTATTCCAATGGGTTTGAAAACATAAGAGCTATGTTCAGCTAGTTAATTTATATAAATAATATTTTACATACTTATCAATCTTTATCTTTATAGATATACCTAATCAACACAGTTGGCCTTTACCTAATCCTAAAAATAAGTACACTAATAAATTTTTGATTAAACTCGAATAATGTAATATAATTTATTTATACTGTTCCCATACAGAAATTAGTCATTTATATGTCCTGTTAAATATAGATAATTTATATTAACAACTACATCACGTTTCGTCATATACAATTTTAATGTCAGCTACGTATATGAAGATTATTCATATATAATTATTATAAATAAGTGTGACTATTATCAAAGATAATAAAGATACAGCATTGAAAACAATAAATTTAGATAATATGATCTGTTTTTAAGAATTGCATTACGTGTCACATCATTTAAATATAATATACTGCATTTGAAGATTCTCTATTAAAAAATAATTGTCAAATTATTGTATAGCCACTATTTTACTTATGTGTGGAATAGGATAACCTTTTATTCTATATGTTTATTCTAATTCGATATTTAAATTTCAAACTGGTTATAGAAGGTATAGTAAAAAAAGTAAAAATCTATTTTTCTGAGTGACACTGAGTAAGTAACCACTACGTTTTACTAAATAATACAATGGTATAGTTAAGTAAGTAGTATTACAATAGTAGAGTTAAGTAGAGTACCACATGAATTTCAGCAAAGTGTGCAAGTTTTGAATTTTCTTATTAAGAAACTTCCAATTTTCAAATATTGTTATAAACCAAATAAATTAATGAAAAACTACTTTCGTTTTAATGTAAAGTTAAAACAACCTACATATTATTAAAATATATGAGGTTAGGTATTACCTATTTACCTACTTTTCTACCCTTCAGAGAATAACGTGACATTGTTAAAGTCCGGGACCTTAAACGATATTATTATCATTTTAATGTGACGGCATATATTACATACTCGACGTTAATTACATTAATGATGTACTTCAGTATAAATAGAAGTGCGAAAGTAGGTATTATAGATATTCATTTATTTTGTCTAATAGCCTCGGTATGAGAAAGTCTACATTCTTGCATATAAAACTTAATTCTATACTTCAGATATTAACATTGATAATAATCAATCTCTCCTATAAATGTAAAGTTTCACCAATTAAAGTTACACCGAGGCTATTAGATAAAACAAAATAATATCTGTAAAACCTATTTTCCATTAGTATACAGCATACCCAGTAATAGCAGCATACCCATAGTAATTTTCTTTTTATAGATTCCTATAAAAAGAAAATTACTATGGGTAACTTTTTTGTATGATTATGAGATAGGATAGTGCACTCGCAGGCGCTAACGGTATACACTCGCGGGGTACTAATAGAATATGAAGAGATGAATCATCTTCAGGAGCCAGGACAGTTATCTCATTTATAGTGGATAAAATAAGGATAATTTTCAGTGAATTCGTGAATTCTGACCTGTCTCCATCCACATTCTATCATCTTATATTAGTGCCCCTATGACATATGAATAAAGTTAGCGCAGGGGGTGCATTTTGCATAGGTATTTATTAAAAATATATCCTTTATAGCTTAGTGGTTTAACACCCAGACTATAAGATCTCACTTCTGAGTTTGAATTTGATCGACACCAAACAATATGAGTAATAATTTAAATGTCTAACGATAACAAATTAATCTAAGACTTGGCGGTACAAACTATGAACGTACCGTGCTTATCAAATTATATTGTGTGTGAATTTAGAACATAGATAGCTATCTATATTTATTTCTATATCTATATACATATACGGAACTACATTCTTGCAAAAATCTAATCAACTGTATCAGATAAATTGATCCTTGAACTGTGTCCGGGTGAGGATTTCCTCATTAGTTACTAATAATAATAATAAATGCTTATTATTGACACCGATATGATGTGGAATCTACTCCACTTGGATTTCAATCTACTCTGTGTAAACACGATGTAGCAAAATAACCGTGCATCAAATAATTCATTCAGAAAAACAATATGCTAGGGTTTAGGCCACTATCTTCTATTAAAGTAATTTAGTTTCAAACCTATTACTTTTAACCTTATTCTAATATTTTACCACGTGTTTTCGAAAGGATTAATTTATACTAAATTAATAATTATACTAAATTCAACTAAAATTTTAGTGTACGAAGCAATATCTTTATAAATTCTACATATTGTCTTTTTGGAATATAACTGGCTTTAAGTAAGTAGATATGTGGTTTTGCGAATTAGAATGGTTTTGAAAATTATAATTCTGTATATCGAGAATTCTATTCTTGTATGGTATAATACCAGCATTTATTAGTAGGTATGATGAAAAGTAACATAAATATGTTACTTTTAATGTATTTACAAGAAAAACCTATTTACATCAGTAATTACAAACAATATCTACTCAATTAAAGAGTTTTCTGAGTGAATAATGGGGTTTGCCAGTAGTGGTGGCACACGTTCACATATCGTTTCAAATGCAATCTGTTGTTTGTTGTAAAACAAAGTATACTTGACACTGATTAATTATTGCACCGAATGTAATGTTTATCAGCAGATGGCCTTAAGTTCAATAACTGAGGGCAGTGGCGTGCCTAAGACGCGAAAACAAGTCTAGGCCGACACATGTATCAAGTACTCTATCATAGAGTCAAAAAATACAATTATACTAATTGACATACACATACGGTTGAAAATACACCAAACACACATTTATTTTTATTTTTATTATGACGGAATGATTCATAGGATCTCCAATTACTTATGCAATTCGATATTCAATAAAAATATTTACGCAATAAACTTTTAATATCTAGGTACTTATAATATAACAGTTATTCTCAGGTTATCGTTATTGTAACTTACAGCTATAATTATATTGCAATGTACAAATTATTATGGCAATTAAATATAAAACAAAACGATTTTAAGAATACTAGTTGATGCCCGCCACTTCGTCTACATAGAATTAATAATTCGAGAGTTATATTTTTAAGATATGTTATATATCCCTTCGTCTGTTATTGTTTTCCTAGTATTGTAGTAACTGCTACCGATTAATCTATTCATAGTTATCCATTAAACTAAACAGTTTAAATATCTAATTTACTTGAAAAAGAGAAAAACATACGAGTGGTGTAAGAGAGTCATTTTCTTCTTTACACTCGTGCAAAGCCGGGGCGGGCTGGTTATTTAATAAAGGGAATGTATTATGTCATTAAATTTAAAACAATTAGTTTATATTGGTCATAACAACATTTTAAATAGTATATACATATATTAGTTACTAGTGGCCTTATTCGCCTGGAATGTCATATTTTTATGAGTTTTCTGTGTATTAACATAATATGTATATCATAATATGTAACTCATGGGCGGCAATAATCACTTAATATCATGTGAGCCACAAACTCGTTTGGGGACAATGCCTACCCTAAAAAGTGATTCTAAAAATTAGTTTCATCACAATAAAATCCATTCTTTCTTTCTCTATCTTTATAATATTACTATAGACTTACTCATAATTCGTCCTCTGCCGTTTATGTACACAGCACCGCCGACGCCGCTGATGCGGTACCCTGAGAGGACGTCCAGCAGGGTAGACTTGCCGGCGCCTGAGGGTCCCATGATGGCGATCAGCTTGCGCGGTCGAAAACGTCCATTCACACTGTGCAGGATTTGTTTCGACCCTGTAAAGTAATTTTATTTATGATATAACTTCAATTTTTATATTATTTTATACATAGGTACATTGTAGTTTTAATTTTTTTGCAAGATAAACTGAGTACGGAGGCATGATCTTAGTCTTTCAAGAAATGGTAAGGCATGTGGGATACCACAGGCTTCACTTAAACGCGATATCTTAGTAATATAAATTCATAATAGGCGACACGACGGTTGCCAGTTACCATCAGGTAGGTTATTAGTTTGTTTGTTAGTTATTAAAAATTAGGTATTTACTTTTTCTTTTTATAGTGGCTATTGTTGTAGTAGATGTTTTCAGGGTTCAAGGTAATTTTATTTTTAAATTACTTATAATAATTACTGTTTTGTTGATCCAACAGCAAAGACATACGAAATGTGCTCATACTGAAATGTAGTTATGTCTGTTGATGTTTTTTGTATTTTTCAGTTCATTATATGTTTGTCTGTGATAATCTGAGTTATATTTATTATTTATATTATTATATGCCATGACAATGACTGTATTCCGCGGAATGCTAGACTCTATCACGTGTATTCTGCAGAAGCCGATCGATCATGTCAGACGCGTGTTACTTAGAACTTGAGAAATATTTTTACATGAAACTGTGCACTTTCGAATTTCAAATTACAAACTGGTATTTGTATATCCGATCCTTTCTAGGTATCTATATCTCATTGGCATCTTTATAAGTAAAAATATGATAAATATATATTGTTAAGATGGTATTTTAATCTGTAGATAATGATTCAGTTATTGTTGTTAGGTCGGACGCAGTTTGCCGACGGATGCTAGCGCATCCTCTCTAACGCGCTGTTAAGCGACCGGTTTTGATGTATTATCTTCAGGTGCAATTATAAAAATTGCAAGCGGTTATGTTATAAACAACACAAAGATAAACGTTAAATAGTAATAATAAACGTATATAAGTGTGCAGTTGGAAATACCGCGTATACATTGTATAAAATAAAGTCGTTGTCGCTGTCTGTCCATGTATGCTTAAATCTTTAAAACTACGTGACTCGAGGAAGGTTCATATATATATTACATGTACACTCAGGAAAAGCGGGGTCAGTAGATAGTTAAATAATATAAGAATAAGGTAAACATCTCTGTTTAGGAATTATGATTACTGAATTGAACAATGTTAATATAACTTCACGACTGTTATCCCATATGGGGTAATAAGACGCATCAAATTAAATTGTAAACTGCCAATATAGTGGTCCATTTGTCATGTCTACAATTCGCTGGGTATATTTTTTTATCGTTTCTCAGTTGAAATGTGAGCCTGATTCGAACTCACGACATTACAATCGGGTACTAAATCATACCACTACTACTCTAACCTTGTAAGGATATATGCACTCGTTTGTTACTCTTTCACAAAAAACTATTGTTGTACAATTACGATATAATTCCTTAATTAACATATAGAATATCTCTATCTATCTACTATGTCCGCGGTATACTATATGTTTACTTTGCAATATTTCTAAATGATTACTTAAAAACTCATATTACAAGAGCCGAGTATCATAACCGGTTAATTGAGTCCAATCAGGAACATTCAAGGTTCGAAACATTCAAAATATGATATTAAGAAACCTAACCAAAGATGGTTGGATAGTTATTTCTCAATAACGCTTAATAATCGAATTAATCTAAACCAGGTAGTCAAAAGCATTGTCAACTATCGATGTTGAAGCATACGATACTTACAAGCGCCACAAACAATTTAGATCTGTATGTTTGAACCCAAGATGTTCTGAACATACATACTCCCGGATATATTTCAACCCAAATACATACTCTTTATTGCATTTACATATATGATAAAATATACCTAACATAATTATAAAAAATGTGAATAAGAGTGGGCTATAACGGGTAAGGTAAGTGCAGTACAAGAGTTCTAAATACATAAATAGGATATTATAGTGATAGTTAAATAAAAAATAAAACATATCCATCTTACAATTAATATATATATAAAGAAAAAATAATATAATAATATTCATAATGAGCGCGTTCCGATGTTGATTGCAAGGAGTGTCTTTAATAGAAACAAAAAATGCAATATAAAATTATTTGCTAACTATTTAAATAATAACTGAAACTTTAAATGCATTTCAAAAATGTGTGATTCATTATTACAGCTTAAATAATTGTAGATTAAAAAAATATATGATTATTCAAAATTTTCAAATTCAAATAATTATTCAATAACTTTGCAAAGTTTTAAGTAAGGTACATCAGTTTCACTTACTATAGCCGCCGTGTACCTTGCTTTTTAGGCTATTGTTTTGATTGAAGGAAGAATAAGGTATTAAAATTTTTAAATTACTGGATAATTAGCACGCATTTTAGTCCTCCGTTATCTTGTTTTTCTTTCTAATTACATACAAAAATAGTATTACAATGTCTAATAATTTAAATTGCAATAATTCACGTGTTTACGCGCGAATTAGATCCATGTGGACGAGTTTCCGCGATCCGGCCGACCTGTGATAACCTCACGGACGTCAGAGAATATATCATTGAGCAGTCACTCTAGAATGTTATGCACACATTATAGGTAAACATAACAATTTTACGGATTTTTTTACGTAATTGGAATAGCAAACATGCTGACAGCCTACCTGCTGATAAGTGGCAACGGTCGCCTATATACATGAATGGCGTTACGGATATCACACTGTCATGTGCCGCTGGCGATGCCGCCTATACAATGCTATTCCGTGGGGATAAGATATAATTTTTTTTCGGACTGCCCTAATGCTGTTGGTCACAGCTGGCCTTTACGGACGATAGGGGGCGAGTGCAGAAGGGTCTTATGGAGTGGCTAAACGCCAACCTGCCTGCTTATCGGATACGACTTTAGTCTAAGGGCACCGCTAGAGGTTCGAACCTCGGCTCAGGCCGTCGTAATTTCGATCCCCGTATGAATTGGATGAGATATCGATCAGTGGGGTAAGATGTCATGCTTTATTCGCTGCATTTTCTCACCCTAAAGACGAAACGCAACTAACAAAGTAAGCCGTTTAGCGTTTAAATTTGTGTGACCGAGGTACCTATGTAGATAACTTTTTATAAAGTAACTTTCATAAAAACTGCTCGAACAATTTGATGCTTGTGAAAAATTATCTTCATCACTTCGAATTTCACTGAAATCGTACTGCACCATTCATTTTAGTTTTCAGTAAATTACAGATACTATGGCTCTTCATTAGTGAATGGTTTTAATTTTGCGAAAATTAATGCACAGTTTTACTATATAACTATAGATATATATTTAACTATATAGTCGTAGTGTCTACTTAGAATTCGCATACCTAATACACTAATTGGCGGGAAAACATAAGTTACATTCCCGGGTTAATTACTGTGGGTGAGTGATTTCACAGTATTTCTATGACAGCATCTCATATAAAAGAAGAATAAACTTTTAACGTTTATTATAAAGCTAATTATGCACTGATATTATTCATAATACCTCAATGCACAACACATGGTAAAAGACTGTAACTCATTTCTGAATGGTGATAACATCGAATAGATTTGACGGACTCGGTGGTCTAGCGGTTAAGCCGCTTTACTTCCGATGGTCGCGGGTTGGAATTCTCGCACGGTGCAAATATTTGTAATCATGATTATGATTGTTTTGTATCAGCCTGCGTTTTTCTATGTATATTGTGTATGTATTTACAAAACTCAAAATCTCATATTTATATGAGTCGTCTAGGACTCATCGTCATAACACAAGTTCTGCTTACCGTGGACGACGGCGCTTACTAGATGGCGCTGTGTTAATTGTCCAAGAATATTTATTTATTTATAGAAGCCTACGCTTGTTGTTCTATACATACTTAACATGACTAATGACATTATTCTGAAGCATAAATAGTGAGGATATAAAAATTTCAAAATTAATAATCTTCTCTGTAATAATACGAGTATATCGAGTCATATCGCAAACAATTTCCACCATGACACACTTAGATTGTAAAATGAACTGAACCTGTCGAGGTTTTCTCTAGGGACTACAGCAATGAGTTTTTAAAGGGTTAGCAACGCACACGTGTTGTTACAGTAATTCATAGCTATCACAATCGTTTCAAAAAGGTATGTCGCTATAAATGGGCGTCATAAATTATCCAGTTTCCACGAAAGCGTAGTACAAAGAAAACTTCCCCGTAGATAATTAGATAAAAATCTATTAATACAGCATATTGATCGCTACCGCACCCGCTTTATAGAACGAGACAACAATGTCCGATATTTCAGTCTTTCTTAGGAGTACTTCGTGCAGTACGTAGGTACATGTTAAGACAATAAAGTAATGAGTATTGGAACTATTTTAAATATAACATAGAATCTAATAAATGTTACTATAAAACGGATTGCATCAATAAGCAATTTCAACTGTATATGGAATTGTAAATAGAGTGTATGAACTTAAACTATTATGGCGTTTATATTGATTCTAATTAAGTATAATCAGCCTTGGTTTTCTTTTAATAAATAAATAAAAACAAATAAATTATATTTTTAACAATGAAAACAACCAAGAACTTACAACCACATTTCAATTAATAATAATAAGAAACAAAAGGAGACTCTCATGAAAAACTATATAAACATATTTTTATGTGCCAGTGTCAAAAAAGCTTTACGTTATACGCCATCACTAAGTGTATTATATAGAAACAGAAACAAAAGAAATATAATGCGAAGGAACGTATACAAAAACTACTATTACTGTACAACAATGCTTAAGTGGGTCATACAAAATAATTATACAATTCTCATGAATTTCAAATATATCATATATGTAGAAATTGGTTTATCAAGTAAAAACTAGAACAAATTCATTAAGATATACAAAGTTTATCTATATATTTAATTACATTATTAGTGAGATATTTTAATGTTTGCACTACCACTTCGGATTATATTTTGTTAGAACCAATATTTTGGGTTATA